GATGGCGCTGGGTCCCCGGCTAGGAGATGGGAAGGGGTCGTGGGCTTGGGCAGGGCGAGAAGGCGGGAGGTGCACAAGAAAGGGTTATTCGTGAGGAATGTTCTAAACCGAGTTTGCCAGGTTTTGTTTGTGCAATCCAGATTGCTAATGCGCGGCGGGAGCACAGTTACAAGACCGGTTGAAACATCTGCATTACTCATAGCTGAAAGATCATGCTCATTCAGAAAAACTCCTTAAAAACATAAATCTGCTTTGCATAAGGTAGACAGCATCAAGGCTTGCTTGTATTGCATGGGTTTGGTAAACTGACTGCTCTACAAACACAGCACAGGCTACAGGTGATTCATTACCCAGCTTTGCAGTCCTTGTGTCTCTTCCTGCAGGACCCCTGAGGATGCGGTGCCCGTCCGCAGCTCCAGTGCTTATTCTGCTCTTCGGAGCTGCTCATGAATCAAGAAGCTGGTTGAACTCACAGCCTGTATGAATGCTAAATAGGGAAATATTCTGGTAACTTTACGGCTGTTACTTAGGCTCATTACTTTGAAAATTCTTTACTCCACTGGTGGTTTGGGTACTTTGTATTTCTATAAGCCTATAACACGGTTAAAGGCTTTACAAGTGGACACTTTAAGTTTGCTAGGGTACCTTGTCCCATCCTCAACTCTATATTCTTCCTTTTACAGCAACACGGGAAAAAAACGAGGGGGGAGGAGAGGCTGGCGTGGGGGAAGAGAAACAAAGCTCCGTTTAGCACTTGTTCATATGTATTAAATGCTTTTATTACTGCAGAAGCAGCGACCTTTGCCCTCAAGTGAGAGTAAAAATAATGGAAAATGAAGACTCCTGATCACAAATACTGGTTTGCACTAAGACTGAAATAATCTTCCCACCATCCTACCACTTGCTGTTTTACTGTTAAGGCTGACTCCAGTTTGTGTAGAGCAAGAGCATGTAAGAAACACAAGTTTTAAAGCTGTCTGGCCTTCCTACAGATGTCATCCCAAACTCACCAGGGAACCCACACAAAAAACCTTAGACTTAATAATGAACTTTTCTTCACTATGTATTTAGAAAACAGCTTAATCAGAAATAATCCATTTTAATCTAAAAAAACATTCCTGTAGTCTCAGCTGTATAAACATATTGAAAGATAAAACTTAAACATTTCTAAACCCAACACAGATGTGAACTAAAGATCTGTCTTTCTTAACATAAATGTGTATCTGTAAACATTGTACCAGACCCCAGAAAAGCACACATTTTCAGTACTTGTATTTCTTCAGTTTCAGGAAGCCTTAACTAGCGTGTCAGTTTTTGAGGGATAAACCATTCCCTGAAGCTTGTGAAAGATATGAAGGTAAAGGCAGATTGTATATGCAGGAAGTACATTGGGTTGTGGAGATAAGGAAGTCATAGGACTATATCATTTAATCTTAGATTAAATTACTATAAATATAAATAAAATTTATTAAACCCCCCATTTGTTAATTTTTCTGCCTGCATATGGGAACTGAACAAGTAATTTTTCACATCCTGTAGTTATGAAAGTCAGCTTGCTGCTTTCTAGATAAGATGATTGTAATGGAGGTGAAGTGTTTGTGACTTCTGAAGCTTTTACCAGTTACTACTTTATAACTCTGCTTATTGCACCATTTACAGAGATTAGTATTTTGGCAGAAGCATGTTGCAGGACAAAATTTTGTTCCTGTTAAACACACTAGTTCTACCAAAAAGGCCTATCTAGTAAGATTGCTACATCATTACTGTTTGGGGAAGAAGGCATCTCTCTGCTATTTCATACACAGATTACCCTGGTGCAGACCCAAATTGCATAGCAGCTTCTCAAACAGGATGAAGTTAGAAGCATATCTCAGGGACAAAATCAGCCCTCCAGGAAAAGGGTTGAGTATCTAGTTATGAACTTTTTAAAATCAGACTGTCATTCTTTAGATTTGCTGTTAGAGGCAAGTTTGTTGTGTTGCTCCTGTACTAATTTAAAAAAAAAAAAAGACAGCTAAAAAGGCTTGCAGATAAGCACAAAGCAAAACGGGACAAAGCTATTGCTTGTGATGGTGTTTCTGTCTGCTTGAGCAAAGATGTTCTGCAATTTTGTGGAGCTTCAGAGTCCCATCAGAATGGATAAGTTCCATAATACACGAAGTTGCTGCCAAGCATTCTTACTCAACTCTAAAGACACACTGTAGAAAAATGCAAACTATAGGGCTAACAAACTTAGGACTCTTGACTTTTCACTGCCACCAGTTAAGGAAGACAGTGAGTGGTGAGACAGGCAAATGTTTCAAAGAAAGATGCATTTTCTCCTTTGATGACAACTGATGCACAGGCTCTATTCAGTTGTACTGGCCTTTTCTTCAGGTTTTGCACCAGCAAAGCAAGCCTTTCCACTAGACCTTTTCATGAATTAAACCAATTTCATCAAGTCCTGCCTAACTTTGAAGACCTTAAATTGCAGCTTACAGCAGACTTGAAAAAGCTTCTTTTTTTGTTGTTGTTGTTTTATTTATTAACTGCCAGCAGCATTGGACAGCAGTGGGTGGGCACAGAATTATTTTGCTCAATTGCATGGTATGGTACCATCACTCTTATATTTTAGGTAGGAATCATTGCGTTGTGGTCAGTCCTGTTTAGCAAGGTTCATTGTTCGATGTCAAGGCCCTAAGTGGAACTTGTTAATTAAGAAAAAAAGCTTCTAAAGGAGTTTAAAGTAGTTAAATGGAAATTACACTTTGATGTGCACTAGAGGAGCAGGAAGCACAAGAAATGGTTAGAAAAGGTGAGTGCTAGCACACAGACTGTGCCTCTCATACATGTCATTATCTGGGAATCAAATAAGCTTTCCTAAGCTTGCATATGTCAGAAAATAACTGAGGAACATGCTGTTTGCATTAGAACTGAGCAGTTGCTAGATATATCAAGGGCATTACACAAAACAGCATATCCAGTAATGACGTATTCCCAAAGGGTATGGGGCTGTAGTACATCTCACCAGCAGAACGCCAGCCTTGACTCAAAGGTCTGGTCTAATGATGAACATCCCACCTGAGCAGATTTATCTGCTCAGCTGGAAATAGTAAAAAATGTGGGAATTAGCTGAGCCTGTTACAAGTAAGATGGGAAAAAAAGATGGTGAGTTTAATTAATATTCAAGTGCAGTTCACTGCTTCTACGTCCAAAGGATGGAAAAATGCTGCTTTCACCTTCCCATTCAGCTATTTTAAGTGAACCAGGGTATTGATACTGCAGCATTCGTGTCTTGTTAAAGTGGCTTATACACACTGGCTAGAAGAAAAATGGAAGCACATAGGAACCGTTTAACTTTTAGTTAGGGCTATTAGCTGGTTTAAAGCAGTCAAGTGTTCAAATTTAA